GAAATGCCGGAGGGCCCTGGCTGTGGGTGTCAGCCTGCTGACCCTGTTCTTCATAGGAGAGATAACGGAGCCACTGGAGGTTTTCGTGGAGGAGATACAAGAGGAGACAGCTGTTTTTAGGAAGATTAGTCTGGCAGAGTAAGAGGAGCAGGAGGGAAGACCGATGTGAGAAGGTGATTTCAGTTATCTCAGTGAGAGGTACTGAGGACTGACGTATAACAGAAAGGAAGAAAGGAATGGATACAGTGGTGTCAAAACTGCAGAGGACCGGTGCAGGAGGGACAAAGGAGATGGTGTTTTTAAAGGTAAGACAAAACTAAAAGAGGCATTTTCAAATACAGATGATCCCAAACTTAACAATGGTTCAACTTTATGATGGGCTTATCAGGATATTAAATGCATTTTCAACTTACCATAGATTTATCAAAACATAACCCCATCCTAAGTCAAGGAGCATATGTACCACTCCTTATCTGAGGTTAATCTTGGCAGTCACATCCCAGAGAACGGAGAGTGAATCTCAACAAATAGCTAAGCTTCGCTCAGATCATGGAGATTCTATTAGACCAGTCTGGTCCCTAGCTGGTCAATTAGAGACAGAAGACAGGTTAGACTCTTAGGGCAGCCACAGTCTCAATTCCCTACTGGCTGCCCATGCTTCAGATGCAGCAGGCCCAGAAGCATCTGAGTTTCCCACTTCCCCTCTGGAATCAACAGGAAATGTGACACAGACAAAGGCAGCTTGCCTCAGTGACTCTCAGCCCTGGATGCACAACAGAATTATCCAGTGCACTTTCAAAAAATACTGATGCTAGAGCCAGCAGGTGGTGTGGTGCTTAAGGTGCTGGACTCCACATGGCCACCTGTGGTTCGAGTCTCAGACCAGGTGGCTTGCTTTCTCACTTTCTCTCTCTGGTGAATGCACATGCCCTATAGCAAATTTTAAAAATTATATTTTAAAAATCACACATATATAAAACAATAAATAAAATTAAATAAATAATTATTTAAAACAACATATACTGATGTCCTGGTGTCACCAGGTGACAAGTCTGGAGTGGGACTGGGGTAGTGCTATATATAATTTTTTAATTTAAGAATTATTTATTTAATTTTTTAAATTTATTTTTTAGATTTGACCAAAGAGAGAGAGACAGGGAGAGAGAAAGGGAAAAACAGAAAGCAAGCCACCAAGTTCAGGACCCAAACCACGGCTGGCCATGGGAGTCCAGTGCCTTAACCACCACACTACCTGCTAGTCCCAATACTGTTTTTTTGTTGTTTGTTTTTTATTTTGAGAGATTTTTGCTACAGGGTATGTGGGCTTGCCAGAAAGACAGAGAGACAGAAAGCAAAAAATCACCCCCCGGAGGGAAAGCCATGCCGCAATCCCTTCTCCTCCATTCTCCTCAGGATTTTGGGCATGCACGCACGCACACGTGCCCGGTGTGCGTTTAAGACACGGTGTTCGGGACTCGAACCGTAGTCGACTACATGTGAGTCCAGCGACATAGCCATTATGCTAACTGCTGGTCCCCCAGTACTGTTTGTAAAAGACCCAGGTGACTCTAATCAGGGATCAGAGCCCTGTTCAGAAATGATGACTAGTATTTCCTCTGGCTAGGTCCAAAGCATAGCAATACTTACTGGTGCTAAAGGCAGACTTTGCTTGTCCAGAGCCAGACCACAATAAGTTTGTCAGGCACATTCTTCCAGAAACAGCAGGTCTAAGGGCTGCAGAGGCAGAAATGCCCCAAGGAATGGTGCTCACATGGCGGGCCTGCATAGAAAAACACATTATATTAGGAAATTTTTCCCAGACTGGTGACTGAAGGCTGATGCTGCTGCAAAGGTACCACGCCAATGGTGGCCTCGGCTGTCCTTGCCCCTGTGAATCAAACAACAAACCCAAGATTCTAACAGCATGGACTGAGTCTCCATGATAACTTTCCCTTCTGTTTCCTCCTCCTCGGAGGCTGCAAGGTGGTGGGGAACACTAAGACTCCAGAATCAAATACTCTACTTCTTAAAAGCAACAGAAAGGTTTCAAAAGGTAGGGACACTTGGCCGGGCTTGTGTGTTTAAGCCTTTTCTCGGCACTATCTGCTCTGCATGTCTCCCATGTCAAGGTTTTTCTTACAAAAGACAAGGCCCTTGCAGTCCCACAGATAAGCAAACAGAGCAAAGTTCAGCTTCTGGAAAAGTATGGACAAGGCTCCACGAAAACGTTTGCTCAACTCTAATGTCCAGCATGACTCAGGAAGGAGAAAGGGCCTTCTTCGAACCCACTAAGAGAAAAGGCGAAAGGCGCAGCAAGCAAGAAGACACTAGGTTTTGCTGGGAAAAAGCAGGAAATGCCTGTAGACACAGATCGGGGGTGAGGGGTGGGAAAAGAAAAAGCCTTTTGTTATTTTAGCACTTGGCGTGTTTTCCTCCAGCATAAGTGGGTGCTCACAGCAACGCCTTGAGATAGGCATCATTCTGGAGACAAGGAACCCTTAAAGGAAGGAAAGTAAACTGAGGTCTCTCCTCCAAGGTCACAGAGTCGGTGACAGAGCAGATCCAGGGTGTCTGTCTCCAGGATCAAGACCACGTGGAGATGGGACAGAGGACGGGCCACAGCTAGCGGGGAAGGACTCGGAAAGGGGACCGCGAGGCGGCGGTGCAGAAAGGGTGGCCCTGCGCAGGCGCAGGGAGCCTTCCCTGCAGAAGGCCCACGGGTCGGGAACCCGCTGATACTCTCCGAGAAGGGCGAGTGATCTCCAGGCCAGGAGAGCGAGATCCTGTCCGGGACGCAAGTTCCAGGAGCCACTGCAGCGCCTGGGCGCCTATGCCGGAGGGGCAGCGACTCAGCATCATTCTGGAGACAAGGAACCCTTAAAGGAAGGAAAGTAAACTGAGGTCTCTCCTCCAAGGTCACAGAGTCGGTGACAGAGCAGATCCAGGGTGTCTGTCTCCAGGATCAAGACCACGTGGAGATGGGACAGAGGACGGGCCACAGCTAGCGGGGAAGGACTCGGAAAGGGGACCGCGAGGCGGCGGTGCAGAAAGGGTGGCCCTGCGCAGGCGCAGGGAGCCTTCCCTGCAGAAGGCCCACGGGTCGGGAACCCGCTGATACTCTCCGAGAAGGGCGAGTGATCTCCAGGCCAGGAGAGCGAGATCCTGTCCGGGACGCAAGTTCCAGGAGCCACTGCAGCGCCTGGGCGCCTATGCCGGAGGGGCAGCCACTCACCGAGGTCCGGAACAACCTTCCCACAGCTGCAGCCATCTTCAGAGCGCGGGAGCTGCGGGGCGGTGGAAACGCAGGGAAGGCGTGCCCTACGGGAGGGGCGTGCCCTAGGGAGGGGCTTACCGGGTGTGGGGGCGTGGTCTTGCGGGAGGGGCCTGGTGTGGGGGCGGGGCCAGGAAGAGCCAGACTTTCCCTCGTTCTGGGGACCCTGAAAGGGAAGCATGCTCTCTTCGGGGTTTCCGAGTGGCTGAAAGCTTGGGAAAGTGACACTGTGCCTGCTTGTCGCCCCAAACTTAAAAACTAATCCAGGCGGGGAGCTAAATATTTATTTCCAAGTTTCCCACTGATTTTTTTTGGTTACGCTTGTGTGGATTACTGGTTCTACCCTTTCTGTGCGAGGATCCCTGTCCTGCTTGTCTTCAGGTAGAGACTTTAGGCTTCTGCGTGAAATGGAATTCATAGTTTACACACTTTAAGTCCATTAATAAGGTAAGTGGATCAGACACATCGAAGTTTTGTTGGCCTGTAAACCTTTGGGGTTGGGTCTCTGCTTCCATTCTTCCCAAACTTGGGAGATCTGGGACGAATTAACATTTGTTTTTATTGATTAGTAGAATCAAGTGCTTAGCGGTGAGCATGATACTTTAAAACAAACACAGCAAACACAGATAAAAATCACATGGTGGCCTTACATTAAATGTGGTAAACTGCAATCTCTAAGCCAGTATTTTCCAAACACCAGTCATTTCATTTCAGACTTGGTTTCACAAGTCTGCATAGCACCTGAGTAATATTGAAAGAAATGTCAAATAGAAAAACCTTGTGACTCACTGTGACTAGAAGGTAATTTAAAATAAATACATGGAATCAAAACTGTTATTTAGTTCCAGCTAGATACATTGTCTCCTGAAGTCCAAGCCTTTTTGTTAAAAAGGGAGAATGAGAGGTGGCCAAGACATCCAACCTTATAGACTTTTTCACTGGTGTAATCAGAAGGATTTCAAGAGAGTTAAGTATCTTTCTCACATTGAGAGTTGATGTTACTTTATGTTTGCTCCCCACTTCCCCAACAGGGTATAATCATCTCAGATGCTTCTGGGTGCCACTCTGGGTACCAGGGCTTTGGAAAGAACTGCCTAAGCTGTAAGGGGACACTTGTTTCTTGACCAGGTCCCCTCAGCTCCTGTCTTGTGTTTAGTTGGTGCTCATTATGGATGTGTTGAGCAGATTTTAAAGGAAAGTTGTTCGTAATGTTGGAGCTCAAAAATCAGACCACAGTCCACTGTAGTTATATGTGATTCAATGTAATATAAACAAGACTGTGATAATAAAAAATGAAATTATTATTATTTTTCTTTTTTTGGAGAGGTTTTTGCTATAGGACGCGTGCGTTCGCCAGACAGACAGAGAGAGAGACAGAGAGACAGAAAGCGAGAAATCACCCCCCAGGGGGGATGGCCACGCCGCAATCCCTTCTCCTCCATTCTCCTCTCGGGATCTTGGGCACACATGCACACGCGCCCGGCGTGAGTTTAAGCCACTGGGTCCGGGACTCAAACCGCAGTTGACCACATGGGAGTCCAACAACACAGCCATTACGCTAACTGCTGGTCCCAAAAAATGAAATTATTTTAAAAAATCAGACGACAGTCTATAGTTAACTACCGTTCAGCTGTGAAAAAGGCATAAAGCACTTATACATGCCACCCACCTGGATAAATCTTGAAAACACCATGCTCAGTGAAAGAAATCCAACACAAAAGGTGACATACTGTATGTCTCCTTTTACACATGGTATCTAGAATAGGTATATACATATGGACAGAAAGTATCAATAAATTGGTGATTGCTGAGAGCTGGAAAGAGGGAGGAAGAGGGCAATTTTATGAGTATGGGATTTTTCTTTGGATTTTGAAAATGTTTTGTAACTAAATGGAGGTAATAATTATACAACCTGGTGAACTTACTAAATATCACTGAATTGTGGACTTTAAAGTGGTTGATTATGGGAATCAGCAGTTGGCGTAATGGCTATGTTGCTGGACTCCCATGTAGTCACGACTGTGGTTCGAGTCCCAGACCCAGTGGCTTAAACTCACACTAGGCACCTGTGCGTGTGTGCCCAAAATCCCAAGAGGAGAATGGAGGGGAAGGGATTGCAGTGTGGCCATTCCCCCTGGGGGATGATTTCTCCCTTTCTGTCTCTCTGTCTCTGTCTTTCTGGCAAGCACACATGTCCTATAGCAAAAACCTCTCCAAAAAAAAAAAAAGTGGTTGATTATGAGGAGCCAGCAGGTGGCATGGTGGTTAAGGCACTGGACATTCCCTTATGGAAGACCACAGTTCAAATCCCGGGCCTGGTGGCTTGCTTTCTTACTTTCCCTCTCTCTTTCTATGTCTCTCTCTGGTCAAATTAAAATAAATGAGTGAGGGACCAGCAGATGGCGTAATGTCTGTGTTGTTGCATTCCCATGTAGTTGACCGTGGTTCGAGTCTCAGACCCAGTGGCTTAAACTCACACTGGGCACATGTGCATGCATGCCCAAGATCCCGAGAGGAGAATGGAGGAGAAGGGATTGCAGCATGGCCATCTCCCCTGGGGGGTGATTGCTTGCTTTCTGTCTCTCTCTGTCTTTCTGGGAAGTGCACACACCCTATAGCAAAAATCTCTCCAAAAAATAAATAAAATAAATACATGAATGAATAAATAAATAATTCTTAAAGGAAAAATGTGGTTGTTTATTTTTTAGACATTATAGAATCCTTTGAGTCAGACCAGTTACTTAATTTTTCTTTTTTCTTTTTTCTTCTAATTCATGATAGGGCATGTGTTTGCACATGAGAGAGAGGAACACCCTCCACATGCTTGGTCACACTACAGTTCCCTTCCTCCAGTTCTCTAACCTACTAGGACCCCGGGCATACCCCCATGAGGTGGGTGTCTTTTCCTGTCTACTGGGTTGGGGACGTGAACTGCGATCAGCCTGTGGCTTTCAGCTCCACAGCCTGGTTTGCTTCTGGTTGTGCCACAGAGGCTAGGCCTTTTCACACGTGTAAAATGAGAGTAATGATAGAACCTGGCTCACACCACTAGCTGTGAAGAGTGAGATAATGCATGTAGAATGCTTAGGGGAGGGCAGCAGATGGCTTGGAGGTTAAGGCAGATGAATCCCACATGGCTGATTGCCCGGTTTGAGTCCCAGATCCAGCAGCTTGAGAAACATGCTGAGCACATGTGCCCCAAATCCCAAAGAGATTGCCGCATGGCCATCCCCCTGCATGGGGCAGGCACTTCCTTGCTTCTCTCTCTCTCTCTCTGCCTATCTCTGGCGAGTGCACACACCCTATAACAAAAAATATTTTAAAAAAAATGCTTAGGGGGTACTAGGCACAGAGTGTTAAATGTTAAGTTACATTTTGCCCATAAGCAGAATATTACATTTTTCAACAATTGGCACCAGTTTTGGAGAGTTTTTTTTTTTTTTTTCTTTTTTGCTATAGGGTGCATGTGCTTGCCAGAGAGACAGAGACAGAGAGACAGAAACTGAGAAATCACCCCCCACGGGGGATGGCCATGCCACAAACCCTTCTCCTCCATTCTCCTCTTGGGATCTTGGGCATACACATGCACACACGCCTGGCGTGAGTTTAAGCCATTGGGTCCGGGACTTGAACCGTGGTCGAGTACATGGAAACCCAGCAATATAGCCCTTACACCATCTGCTGGTCTTGGCACCATTTTTGAATACATTTTGTTTTTCTCAAAATGAAGTTCCCTTTTCTCCTTTCATTCAGGAGTGAGGTGTGAGGCATTTGTGCAAACACTGATCTCCCAGAAGCTTCAAATTAAGCTCTTCTAGAAGCTAGAGGAACATGGGTCCAGCAGTTAGCGTAATGGCTATGTCGCTGGAATCCTATGTAGTCAACTGCAGTTTGTGTCTGGGACCCGGTGGCTTAAAAACACACCGGGAGCATATGCTCTATAGCAAAAACCTCTCCATAAAGAAAGAAAGAAAGAAAGAAAGAAAGCAAGCAAGCAAGCAAGCAAGCAAGCAAGCAAGCAAGCTAGCTAGCTAGCTAGAGGAACATGCAGGTAAGGAAAGAAGGATTCCTTGGGACCAGCAGTTAGTGTATGGTTATGTTGCTGGACTTCCATGTAACTGACCATGGTTCAAGTCCCAGACCTGGTGGTTTAAAATCACGTTGGGCATGTGTGCATGCGTGCCCAAGATCCTGAGAGGAGAATGGAGAAAAAGGGATTGCGGTGTGGCCAACCCCCCCTGGGGGGTGATTTCTTGCTTTCTCTCTCTCTGTCTGTCTCTGTCTTTCTGGCAAGCGCACGAGCCCTGTAGCAAAAACCTCTCCAAGAAAAAGGAAAGGATTCCAGGTGCCTATGTGTTTGTGGGAACTTAATTCTTCTCTACTCTAAGGTTCCTGATCCTGGACGATACTCTTACTCAGGATGCCGTAACATTTTTTTCTCTTAAAGTTAATTTTGAGGAATCAGAGTGATCACTGTGGTAAGACACATATCAGACCCCAATCTACCTGAAACAAACTTTTTAAAAAATGTATTTCTTTATTTATTTATTTTTCAGTTTATTTATTTGCATTCATTCACTGTACATCATTACAGCCTACAAAATGAGATTTTCCATCCAGAGTACACTGTATTGTCTCAATCAAGCACATCAACAAACATGTTATTGTCAGCAAATAATCTTCCATTT